GATTTTGTTATTTTTGATATAAAGTAAAAGTTCGTATTCTACTTCAGTGGAACAATAAGAATAAAATACGTAATTTTTGTTAGGAAAAAGTTTCAGTTCATATTTATCATCAGATATTTTTCCATCTGTTTCATAAAAATCATAATTATCATCATTTAACGTTTTAAAGGTACAAAAATATAATGTTTCTTTATATTTGATATCTAGAGTGATGATTAAATAATTTTCATTATTTTTTGTAATAATTTCGAAATTCATTTTTATTAAAAATATATTATTATTTTTTTATTGAATGTTTTATATATTAAAATATATTATTAATTTTTAATGATAATTATTAATTAAAAAAAGATATTTATTTTAAAGAAAAAAAATATATGATAAAATAAATAATTATGGAAAAAATTAAATATTTTAATGATATTAAACATACCTTTGACGAATGGCAAAAGTTAGATGTTGAAGAGAAATCAAAATACAAATCTCAAGTACTTGTATTGATAAAGATAAAGAAAAAAATATAATAATGAGATTATGAGTACGAGTGAATGGACTAAAACATGGATTAATAATCCTTTTGGAAAGAAAAAATCGAATAAAAAAAATTAATTTCGAAGGTATGTTTTTTCTTTACATGAAAAACATAAAGTATGGTAATGCATCTGATAATTTTTTCCATTCATAGTAAATATTGGATCTTTTTTACATTCTGTTTTAATATCATAATAATATTCACCATATTTTGCTACGTAATCTAATTTATCATATCTTTGACATTTATCTTTCATGAAATCTTCAGTTATTTTATTGGAATGTATAAAATAAAAAAGGCCTTCAAAAATATTATCTTGATATTCTTCAAGTCTTATATAATACTCTTCTTTTTTATTTAAATGAATTTTTTTCTTGTAACTTTCATCTTCGAAATTGAATAAAACCCAAAGAATTCTTTTAGTTTTTTTGATTCGATAATCTAAAAATTTTGGTGACTCATGATCATCAGCAACGATCTTTTTCATGAGGTGGTATTTGATGTTTGCAATTTTTTTTATTTTATGATAAATTTTATTCTAGTATTTACAAACAAATTTAATATTAGAACAAGCTTTCTTATTTATTTTTCTATATTTATAATATTTGAAAAGAGTCATGTTCTTTTTAATGTAAAATAAAAAAATCATTTCTAAACATTCTAAGGGTAGAAAGTTTATGTTCATTTTTTTTTCATTATCAAATTTTTTATTAATAAAAAAAAAAGAATTATTTTATAAGTTTTTATAATTATTAATTTTAACATCTCTCATGATCGATCAAAGATTACACTGAATTTGACCGATTATGAGAGATATTAAAATAAAAAATAATAAAATATAATATAAGTAATGAAAATACAAAAAAAATAAAATAATGAAATTATTCAGTATGATGTGTAAATAAATTATTTACGAGTAATTGATATATAAATAAAAATAATAAATTTAATTCATATATAAATAAAAAAAGTAAAATATTAATTTCTGTTATAAATATTATTAAAAGTATCTTAATCATTAAAACTATTATTTCCATCAGAAGAATCACTTTCTATGTCAATAATTTTAGAATAGTTTATTTCAGTATCAGAAATTATGATAATATCTTTATTATTATAGGAGAGGACCAAAGATTGAGAAGTTTCTTTTTGTAAATTATCTTCTGTAACGAATCCAAGTTCTTTAAAAGTTTTTTGTTGAGATAATTTAGTATTGAATTCATTGAAAAAATTATTATATTCTTCATGACCAAGACATTTAGCGAGAAATTTATGAATTTCATGAAATTGATATTCTCTTGCATTGATTTTTGATTTAAGATCATTAATTTTGAGTTTAAGATCTCTAATTTCTGATTCAAGTTTATTGATTTTTTTATAGAGTGAAGGTTTAGACATTTTTTACTTAAAAAAAAAGAAATAAATGTAATTTATAAAGGAAATGATATTTAATTTGAATTACTAATTTTTGGTATGATTAATTAATAATATCGATAATGGTTATTTTAATATTTGAATTATATCATGAGAGTATAAGAAGAATTAAACTCAAGAGTAATGTAAAAATAAATAACGAAAGCAAGGTTTCTAATAACACAAGAGGGTAATAATAAAGATTGTAAATGAAAAAAATCAATAATGGAATTTTTAAATTTATGAATAATGTAAAAGGTTTTATTTCCGTAAAGGTAGACTCTTCATCAGTTCAGATCAATTTATTTTGATCGTTTTCAATTTTTTCAGATTTATTGTTTTGTTCCATTTTTTTAAAATGTTTGAGATGAAATAAGATGATAGATTTATAAGAAAATAATTACTAATATTATAAGATATTATGACAATGTAGCATATTTATGATATCTTTTATTAGGTTGTACAATTATGAAAAATTAAATTTGAATTCAATAATATTTCTCAAATAAAATAATTAAGAACTAAAAAAATATTATATAAAAACATTATTTCTGATAAATGAATATTTTTTTAAGAAATAAAATTTCATTTTACAATGAGTTTATGGGGTTGGGATTTTCCAAGTTCTTTACGTTCAAGATTTCTAAAAGAAGAAAATTATAATTCAAGTGAGAAATATGAGAATTATTAATTAAAAAAAAAAATTATAATTAATAATTATATTTTATTTATAGAAAAATTTGAATATGATAAAAAAAATAATAAAAAACAAGGTGTTTACAATAAACGAAATATTAACTTTACGTATATATGTGATGATGTTGAGATATTGATGTTAAATGGTATTAAAATTACATCTAAACAAGTAATTATCAAACCTCAAAAAAATATTTGATATTGAGTTTTGTAAACATCTTTATAAATACTTCCATAAATTAATTATTAATTAAATAAATTCATAAATAAGATGATTTTTTAATAAATAAAAAAAATAATACAAAATGTCGAAATGGTATTCGGATGATATTTGTTCTTGTGGGCGTAAAAAAAAATCTGTTTTCAAGATTTGTGATTGGTGCATAAAAGGATATGATTTATGTTTTTGCGAAGCTCGAAAATTGATGAAGTATCCTACTTGCAAAAAATGCTATTACAGTGAAAAAAGGCTTATTGAAAATGCACGTAAAAAGAAAATTATTTGGTCCGAGAATAAATCAAGTATACAAAATAATGATTTTTTTAAAGATACGATTTCAAAATGTAATTTGTGTTCTTCATATGCAAGGTGTGTTCGACATTTAAAAAAGGATTGTCCAAAACAACAAAATTACAAAGATATTTCATACGAAGTTAATGATTATGGTGATATTTATTAATATTAAATATGAAAGATTAGTTTTTTTCTAAGATTATAAGAAATGTAGTTTAAATATATTATTATTATACAAAATTAAGATTATAAAAAAAAAAAATATGTAATTTATGTTTTTATATGATTTTATTTATAAAATATGAATAACAGATAATATATGAATACATTAATTAAATTTTTCTTTAAATTTTATTTTACCATTAATAATATCAATTTCTCCTTGTCCATCAAATCCTTTCATTAATCCTTTAATAAAATTATTATTTTTATGAGAAATATTCGAAATGGAACTGGTATCACTAATTTCTTCATCATAAGATGTAGATTTTTCAAGTCTTGTGAGTTCGGATGAAATATTATTAATATCAAAATCGTCAAGTTCCTTTTTATAATATTTAGTAAAATGTCTTCTTAAATTTGCATTAGAGGCATGCTTAACAAAATGTGATTCACATATGTTATAATAAAGTTTATTGGAATTATTAGGTTTGATATGAAAAAATTTTTCTTTGATTTTTGGTTTTATTTTTTTATTAATATAAAATTAAAAATAATTGGTTTAAATAAATAAATTAAATTAATAATAGATTTCATTATAAGAAATAACCATTAATCATGTCTGTTATCATGCCAAGATATAGTGAAATAACTATTAATCATATACGAAACTTTGTTGAGATCAGCTTAGAAATAAAATAAAATTATTTGATTAAAAATTTAATTAATAATTTGATCGATTATAAATATTACAATTTATTATATTTTTTCATAGATTAAATATGATTGATTTAAAATTATCACTTGATTTTTATAATGAAATTATCGATACTATAATTTATGAGATATTCGAATTAGATATTCTTTATGTGAAGAAACCCGTGAAAACAATAAAAGGAATATTATACACATGTCGATATTTTTATTATTATTTTAGAAAAAAATTTGCAATAAGTTTTTATAAAAAATTTGGATTAGATGAAGAGATATTTTCTTCTGAATGTGTTCGTAAAGATTGTAAGAAAAGAGGTCATATCAGAAATGAATTTTTTTTTAATTTTTTAAGTCTTAGTTTAGATATTTGGAATTTAGTAGATATTTATGGAGATAGATACTGTGGAAGTATTTGGGATTTGTTGAATGCATATAAGAATGATATATATGAAAGAAGAGATCCATACAGTTAGAAGGAAGAAGTTCCATATGTTGTTTTCGAATCAGTAGAAAATTATGGAATGAGATATATAGAAAATAAAGATATTTATTTATATTTTATGAATGAATATAATAAAAAAATGTATGAAGTCAAGATATTTTTTTACAAGATTCATGATCATCATAGATATTATTTTAAGTATGAAAGAAATAATATAAAGATTTTTTCTTTCGATGGTATTATAAAACTTATGGATAATTGTATTGAAGATACAGATTTTATGAGAGATTTATGTATTGATAGTGATCCAATGATGAATGAAGTGAATGATAAATGTGTGCAAGGAAATATAGATGAAAATTTAGGAATTTTATATTTATATTATCCAAAATTAGAATGTTATTTTCCTCTTCGTTATAGATTTATTTTCTTTTTTATTTATGAAACATTATATTCAGAAGTAACAGATATTACTTATTATATTTGGAAAGAAATTTTTTTATGTTTAAAATATTATTTATTGAAATTATTGAATGAATAGTAGATTATTAATAAATTAAAGAAATTATTAATTAATTTTATTTATAAATATAACATTTTATTCTTTAAAAAAAAAGAAAAACAAAATGTCTAAAGAAAATATTTCTAAAGTTAATAATATTGAAAGTATTGATAATTTTGAAGAAATAATCGATTCTTGTGAAAGTAGTACAGCTATTATTGAAACAAATAAAGATATAAAGGTAAGATTTCGATAAGTATCATATAACTAGTGTACACTTTTATTATTTATACTGCAAGAGTGAGTCTAGGAGCTAACCACACTAGAAATCGCTTGTGAAAATAATTGTGTTCAATAGAAATGATAATTAAGTTTCTTTGTAGCCACGATGATGTTATTTACTTATTGAATTCAATTTAATAGGAGATCCAAAATATCAATATTTGTTTAAAATATGTGTATGATATTTTAAAATTGTTAAAGGATATGGGATATGATGTTGATTATGATAAGAAAATTATTTATAATGATAAAGACAAAGATCTTGTTGTCACGATTGAAAAATTTAATATTTTAATTCGTTGTAAATATAAAGCAAAAAGAAAAGTATGTTATCATGATATTGATATGTTTGTGACAACATTACAACAATCATATAAAGATCATGTTGGTGTTATGGTTAGCAATCAAGGTTATTCAGATAATGCAAATGAAAAAGGAAATGAGTTTAGGATAATGATGTGTAAAACAGATAATCTTATTAAGAAATTGATGAATCATATTGATGCTTTAAAGAAAGAAATTGAAAATTAAAAATCGTAAAAATTTATCATGTGATTTATTACTTATATTATATTATTTAAATAAATTTTTAAATTAAATTTATTTATATGTTTATTTATATGTTCAGTAATTATTAATTATATATGAGATAAATAAATATTTAATTTTAAGGCGTAAAAATATTATCATTGATAAACTGTATGCATTCGATATGCAATATGTATTTGATAGACTTTATCATATGATAAACAAATAAGATGATCATTACTAAAAATTTAAAAAATATGTATAATGATAAGAAATGATAAACAATACGTGTTTGATAAACTTTATTTATAAATTTAAAATAATAATATATACAGATAAGAAATATAATATAAATATAATTAATAATTAAAAAAAAAAAACTAAAATTCTCGATAATCCCAATATCCCTTTTCATCTACTACTCGACTATTGCGAGCATAAGGAGTAACTATAATATTTTTAAAATTATTATTTTTAATAATTTTATAACTACCTTCTAATTTCCAATTTATATTAATATCAGATATTCGTCTGATTTTAACAGGTATTTTTTTAATGTTTAATCCTCTACGTATCGCTTCTTGAAATACGTAAAGTCTTCTATTATCTGAAGAATAAAAGATATCATCTATAATACAAACTTGTATTATAGGAAAATCTTCTATTTTTATTTTACTATTAACAAGGTCATTAATAGTATTTTCTATATCGTTACCCATTTGAAATATATTATTAATAGTACATTGACTAAACATTATTTCAAATGGGTTTATATTTTTAATAATATCTTTTTCTGCGAGTTCCAATTTTATTAATATGAATTTTATTCTATATAATAGAGCAAAACTAAAAATCCAAACTAAAATTATTGAAAATAAAGAAAATATAGGAATTAAAATTAATAAAATTAATTCAAATAAATAATTTTCTAAATTTTTATTTTTAATAGAAAAAATAGAAGGTTTTTCTTGTTCGACATTCATTTAAGAGATAAAAATTTCTTGATCGGAGGTCGACCAAGTAGGATCTTCTAGATTCCAAGAAGTATTATCTTGTTTATAATCATTCTAATTATCTTCAATGTTTTTTTGTTCAACTTCTTTATATGATTCATTTTCTTTAATTTCTTTACTAATATTAGTTTCAAAACTAATATTATCATCATTATATTCATTATAGTCAAAGATATTAGATTTTTGAACGATTTTTATATTTTGTTTTTTATTAATTAGTTTTTTTAAAAAAGACATTTTTAAAATTAGATTTTTTTTAATTTAAAAATTTTTGTATTTTTTTAGAATTTTATCAAAGTAAAATTATTGAATTTTTATTTAGATTGTCATCATTAGTAATTTGATTATTTTTATATTTTTATTTTTATATTGATATATTAGAAAAATTTTTGATTTAGAAAAAACATCTTTGAGAAATTTTAATTAAAAATTGAATAATTTAACAACCGTAAAATTTTTAAGACTTAGATTTATTGATTAATAATTTAGATTACATAGTTAAAAAATCTAAAATTTTGTTTAAGTTTATCAAATTAGGTTTATCTGCAAATCTTAAAGATGTGGCTTTGTTTATTTTTTTTATTTGTAAATGAGTTATTTGTATCAAAAAAGAGATAATTCTAATTTAAGAAATATTAAAAGATAAAGAAAAAAGATTTTTTTTTTTTGTATTCACTCAATTTTTAGGGTTATTTCCTTTATTGAACATTCATTATTAATTTTGGCAAATACAGTATTTAAAATTCTGATTTGATAAAAAAATATTTATTTTGATCACAAGAATCGTGAGAATAATTTTCTTGTCATTTTTAGAAATTTATAAAAGATATTATCAATGATTTGTATATTATTTATCATTGATAAAAATTTGGAATCTAGAATTTCTTATCTTTATTTTGTTTTGTTTTGGATACCAAAATCATAAGATGTTTACATGATTAAAATTTGTGAGAAAAAAATGTCAATATTATCTATCTCGTATTACATGTTTAAAGGATTTATTATTAATATAATCTTTATAAAAATATCCATTTTTCTTTGTTTTATTTTTTTCTGCGTGCCAATACACAAAATGTGCACAGTGATGGAATTGGAAAATTTAAAATTGTTAATGAACATCATTTGTTATGATTTGATTGATGCATATTATCAATCTTCAAAATACGTTTCTATTTTCAAAAGGAAAGGTTTATCCGTTATCGAAAAGATAGAACGTTCCATTATGAGTTTTTTGTGTTTGAACACAAAATTCCGAGAAGATAATCAGATTATCAGAATTTATTTAATGATTGTAAAACTTAAACGTTCCAGATTTGGGTTGCGTAATAAGATTAAAGAAATTTTTGTGAAAGTAAAAGAGTTCTTGTCAGACATCGATAAGAAGTTTGTAGTTGTCAGTTAGCGTGAATATTAAGCCATATTTTCTTTTTGAGAAATATTCTTATTTGAAAATTTACATATTAAGGTTTTTCCATATATATCCATGTTAAATATAATTTTGTATTCATCCGTATATCGTCTAAAAGATTTAAAAGAGTAGTGATTTATCCATCGTTGAATTATTAAATAAAATTTCAAATATCAATTTCATTAAAATTTAAAAAAAAACATAATCATTAATAAAAATATTAAAAAATGGGAAGAAAACAATTTGTACAAAGTCTCGTCAAATCAGACAAGAAAAAGAATAACAGAGGACGAAAAACGAAAGATGATAATGGTGTTGATAAAAAAAAATTACAAAATCGTGACAATCAAAGAAATTGGAGAAATAAGCAAAAGATACTTATGGAGACATTGAAGCAGACATTGGAACAATGTGAACATGATTTGGAATTGATGATTGAAGAAAATCAAGATTGTAGAAACTTTATCGAAAGATTAAGAGAAGAATCATCTCAAGAAATGAGAAGAAACCAAGATTTGAAAGAAGAGAATGAAGAATTAAAAGAAAAATTAAAAAATTACGAGATAGAAATAATCGAATTTGAAAAAGAGAGAAAAGAACTTGATAGAGAAAGAGATGAATTCGAAGAGAGAAAAATTAAAGAAATGAGTAAAGATATAGAAAACATTAAAGAAAATGAAGAGATTGAAAAGGAAATAAACATCGAAGAGAAAGAAATGGAATACATTGAATCAGAAAATATTATAATCGATAATACTTTCGAAAATCAATTATTTATAAATAATTTTAATATTGATAATTTTGTTGGGAGTGATTTTATTGAAAGTGAATATTTAATTAATAATTTTAACGAATATACATGTTTCGATAATAGTTTTTTTTCAAATGATAATGATATTATATCACAGTATATAGATTTGTAAATTTTATTTATTTATTTTTTTATTTACATTTTAATAAATATTTTTGTTTATGTAAATCCTGATGGATGAAATTTTTAGAATGAATAATTTTAAAAATGTTATCCATCAGGGTTTATATAATAGAAAAAAAAAATTTAAATCAAAACTTTTTTGGTAAACAAGAAATAAAATTTTTACAATTATTAATTCAGATTTTGATTAGTAATTATTGCATGTTATAAATGAATACGTTTTTTTTTATTGTCAATTATTCGAAATGTCAAAAGTAAATAAAAATTTGAAAAGAAAAAATGAAGAAAAAAATTCCAATGTAAAAAAAATAAAACAAAACGAGGAACGAAAAAAAAAATTAACAAAAGATCAAGAAAGAATAATTGATATCATTGTTAAAAAAAGAAAACCAATATTCATTACTGGGTCAGGCAGTTGTGGAAAGAGTTATACATTAAATTATTTGATTGATGTATTGTATAAAAAAATTGGAAAGGATAAGATTGGTGTCACATCTTCAACTGGAATATCTTCATTGAACATAAGGGATGGTATCACATTATATAAATATACATGTATCGGAATTAGAGATAAACCAATTGAGGAATATATTAAAAAGATAAAGAAAAATCAATATTTATATGAAAGATGGCTGAAGACTGAAATATTAATAATTGATGAGATATTGATGGTGGGTGATAAAACTTTTGATTTTATTGATGAACTTGGACGTAGGATATGTAAAAATGACAAACCATTTGGGGGAATTCAACTTGTGGTATCAGGTGATTTTGCTCAATTGAGACCCATAAAAGAAAAATATGCGTTTTTGAGTAAAGTTTGGAAAGAGATAGAATTTGAAAAGGTTTTCTTGAAAAAAGTATTTAGACAAAGTGATGAATATTTTATCAGTGGACTTGATAAGATGAGATATGGAAAAATAGATTCTGAATTTCTTAGGTTTATAAAAGAATTAGAAAGAGAGATTAAATATGAAGATGATGGTGAACCAACAAGGCTTTTTTCAACCAACGAAGAAACTTATAGATGTAACATGATTAAATTAATATCAGATATATGGAGTCGAATATTACCTGGTAAATTAATAAAAGAAGGATCGATACCTGATAGTATGATAGATGGAGCGATAGAAAGGATTTTAAAAGAAGGTGTTTCTGGTTTATTGGAATATAAGGCAAAAGATTGGTCCGTTGGCATGATAGGAGAAGAAGGAAATGATGACAGGATTAACAAAAATAAATTATCACATAAACAGTTAATTAATTGGTTTGAGAAAAGTTTATTATCAGAAGAGATCTTATATTTAAAAATAGGAGCAGAAGTATTGTATATTTGGAATGATAAGGAAGATAGAAGAATAGTAAATGGTTTAAGAGGTAGAGTAGTTGCGTTCAAAGATGTGACGAATAAAAATGTTTATAGAAAAAATCTTTCTGATGGAATTTATTCAGATTTCTTGAGACCCATAGTAAAGTTTGTAGGTATTGAAGAGGAGATGGAAATTAAGAAAGAAACATTCCAAAAAAGAAATGCGGATAGAGCATTGATGGTGACACGTACTCAATTTCCATTAAAGTTAGGTTATGCGATGACTATACATAAATCTCAAGGTTTATCGATTGATAGATTAGAAATAGATTGCAAAAAGATATTTCAAAGTGAACAGTTATATGTAGCATTATTAAGAGCAAAAGAAACCAAAAATTTATGTGTATTAAATTTTGATGTTAACAAATTAAGAGCGAATGTAAATGTTATTGATTTCATGAAAAAGGAATTCGGAGATGTGATTTAATATAAATATGTGTAATATTAATAGTTTAATTTCGATAAAATGAATAAAATCATATTATATATTTTCATATTATTTTTTTTATTCGTAAATACAAATAGTGTAGTAAATATACAAAATATTCATAATAAAAATAATGATTTTACAATGAACGTAATGAGGAATTTACAAATAATATTGATGAAACAAGAGGGTACACATATTCGCAGTCTTTATAATTCTGATATGAATTTGATTATATGAATTTATTTGAAAATTTAGATATTGAAGATTTATTGAATTACTCTGATATTTTTTTTTAAAAATAATCATTTATGTTTTTATGTTTTACATTGTATGAAATTATTATTATCAAATAAAATAAATTTTTAAAACTT